AGACAAATAACAAGAATTTTGTCATTTTATAATATATTTAAAGATACAATGTAGTAACCTAAGTCTCATAGCGAATTGACCGATTTTGAAATATAGGAAAATATTATTCAAACCAATTAAAAATGATTTCTTTATATTTATACCAAACAGTGTGTTGTTCCATTTTGTGTTATTATGCCCCCGTATCGAAGATTCGGGGGTATATAGTTTTTGCCCTGTCCGTCCATCTGTCTGTCTGTTTGTCTGTTTATCTGTTTGTCTGTTTGTCCGCAAAAACTTTAACATTGCCCATAACTTTTGATTGGTTGGAGCTATGGCTTTCATATTTCACATGTGTATTCCTTCTGACAAGACCTTTCTTTGGGTACCACCATATTTGACCTTTTGGCCTTGGAGTTTGACCTAGTTTTACAAAATTTTACCCAACTTTAACCTTGGCCATAACTTTTGAACGGTTGGTGCTAAGGCTTTCATTCATACTTCACATATGTAATCCTTGTGACAAGACCTTTCTTTGGATACCATCAACTTTGACCCTTTGACCTTGACCTTGGAGTTTGACCTACTCTTGGAAAACTTTAACCTTGGCCATAACTTGTGAACCGTTGGTGCTAGGGATTTCATACTTCACATATGTAATCCTTGTGAGAAGACCTTCCTTTGGATACCAACAATTGTAATCCATTGACCTTGACCTTGGAGTTTGACCTACTTTTGGAAAACTTAAACCTTGGTCATAACTTTTGAACGATTGATGCTTCAGCTTCATATTTCACCAGTATATTTCTTGTGAGAAGGCCTTACGGCACCATTATTTTTTACCATTTGACCTTGACCTTGATGTTTGACTTACTTTTGAAAAACTTTAACCTTTTCCATATCTATTCATATCTATTCAATGGTTGCTTCTAGGGCTCTCATATTTCACAGGTATATTCCTCGAGACAAGACCTTACTTTGGGTACCAACATAATTATTTGATTTGCATTTGAGAAAGTTTAACCTTTGCTATAAGTTGCCATACGGGGGCATCAGTGTTTCACAAACACATCTTGTTACATTTTGAGATGATACTGACCCAAAATGTAATAACACAAAATGTAATAATTCCAGATTATTACATTTTGCATGACATCACCCCTATAATGGCTACATCCTTGCACTGTGGGTAAGAATTTATTGAGATTATGCATATTCCATGGCGTGGCCTCAGTTTGTATCGTAGGAAGTTTAGTTCAATTTTATGAAATCTATGGGAATTCGGGAAAGGGGGGGGGGGCACACAGGCTATATCTAGAATCTTAAGGACAAAATTCCCGAATCAAATACTAAGCCTCATCTAATTCAGCTCAAGTTAAATCACGATAAGCACAAACACCAGTGATGGTACATGAAAGTTTCCTAAACAGTACCAGTTTTGAATTAAAAAAAAAAATAGGGAAATTTGAGGTTTGGTGAATATTTTATATGTAAATGTGAGGTCTTTTTGATTTTATTGGGAAATGACATTTAAGTTTTACTACTACTGTGTACGATTCAAAGGGTGTGGAATAGAAATACGAAGCTAAAACAAATTTATTCATGTATATTTTTTTTCTTGCAACGCAAACGTGAACAAAATCCTCTCTTGGTGACTTGATGATTTTACCTTATGCGCGTATAGAACTCTGAAATTTGGAGTGAGACTCGGGGATTACTTTGCTTTGGTCATGTTTGACCTGAACCTCACTTAAAATCTTACTAAACCTTAGAAATAATAAATAAGGAAATCAGAAGAGATACAAAGAAGTCTGATAATCTACATCACTGTGATGACGGATGAAGATATGGAGTTTGAGGAAATGTACGTAGATACAGGAGCCTGAGATCTCAATATTTGACAGAGGCGGTTTCTGATTACAAAGATAATTTAAAACAGAAATACTATTAAAGGTCAATTAAGCAATGTCACGGTCACTAATAAGAAAGTAAATTAACTTGAAAATTTAATAAGAAATAACTCTTTAACTTCACAGTCGATATTCTAGTATAAGTAAGAACTTTGTAAAGATTTAATTCTTGACAGAAAAATGCCTAAGAATGTTATGGAATTATTATCTGGATATAAACGATTTATTAAGAAACGCATTTTGTGTTCAAATATAAGACTACCAAGTCTAGAGCATGTGGTATAAATTTATATAAATTAAAATTTTGATGGCTCAAGTATTAACGTTTACATGGAATGATTGTTATATTACGTATTTAATGAGTGTTATGTTGTAAATTTTGAATTTAGCAATAAATTCAAAAAAGCATGTTGTATTTTTTTTTATTGCCAACAGGTAAATACAAAATTTACATGACATGAGAATGATAAAAATTATATAAAATCTCACTTGATTAAAGGAAAAAGAGAAGTTTTATTCGTATGAAGCAGGTTTTGTTCAAAAACTTCTGTATTAAAAAGTCTCTCCCTGTGGCCTTTCCATTAAACTTATATATGTGGGATATATCGAGTCGACATATGAGTGGAATTAACTATTTTTAATTGATAAAACGTCGATATATCTGAAAGTAGAGTTAATGCCACAGCAAGTGTTTTTTTTCTTCTCATGAAGAAGTTTTTAAATAAATATTGCTTGGTAGGCATCTAAAAACAAGTCAGCTAATATAGGAACACAATTAAAGCCCTTCGGAATTCCAACAGTTTGTTGGAAGACCTGGTCTCCGAAGACTACATAGATCTTGTCAATTAAGAATTCCAGCATCCTTTTAATATCAAGAATTTGTGTGTAGAATCAGAGTGCTTTTTAACAAAGTATTTTAAATAATGACCAATCACAAGATATGAAAATTTTCCGAGTTCAATTTTTATTGGAGAAACAGTTGTTTATGATATCAAAAAGCATAGTTTTGAATTTATCGTAAGGAATGGTTATATTTAGTGTAGAAAAGTTGTACGTTTTGATGTTACTAACTTTTCAAATATTCGGTGAATTAAAATTTTCTAAACGTTCTTTGGAGTTTTTAAGAATCCACATTTGATCTACACCACTTCTAGAATATGTTAGAATAACCATAAAAATTACGACAAACAACCTAAAAATGATGACTTTGAGGTTGTCATTTTCAACCATATCAGCATCACGCTGATAATGACGTGTCCAGTGGAACTACAGTTGAAAGAAGAGGAAGAGCAAGAACACTTAAGAGGATTTTGTTTTAGATGTTCAATATCTAGTACTGGGTTTGTTTATCACTGAAAAGTTTGGAAGCAACAGTTAAGGAATATCTGTAGGAAATGCAGTGTGTAGACTTCAACTTGAAATACATGTATGGTGAATTGCAATACTAAACTTTGTATGTTAATGAATGTTACTAATGTTCACAGCATCTATTTCTTTCTTGGCGAATTTAAGTTTAAGGAACCGACGGGTTGAATTGGAATTGATATCTTTAAAAAATTTTGTTTTAAGAAGAGCCTGTGCTGGGCAACATCCATAATCACAAACACTAGCTGGTATTCTGCAGTTGAAGGATCCAAAAATGGACTTGCTTTAGCTTTTTCAAATAGTCCATTTTAAATTTCGAAGGAACCGAGTAAAGTTAGTGCGAATGTGATGAAGACATAATTATTATATACGTAAAGTAAAAACAAATCAAAAGAGACATCATATTTATTTCGTCCATTGTATGACCAATGTCCACGACTTTCCTACGTCTAAGTGTAATGTTAAAAAGTCCCATCACATTAACACTTGCACATTGTGAGCTTGAAAGATTCCATACATTATTTATGTGATCGTTGCAACATACGAAAATACAGTGTCTAGTTTTCTGATCCAATATGCTTCTCGTTGTTTAAAGAATGGAGTACTTAAAGCGGGACTTATAGTTGGATAATATAATTTTCATGTTCTACGTACGAACAATTTCAACAACGAGACAGGCTATTGACCAATAACGTGATGAAAAAAGGATATCAATCTCGTTTAAAGTCAATATTTTGCAAATTCCGTGATTGTTACAATGACCTTGTTAGTAAATTCACTTTATTTATCGAATTGTCATCAAACACAATCTATCGTTAAGTCTAATGCTGACTGACATTTTTAGTACATATTGATAGGCCATAAATTACACACTAAATTGTGTACGGGTATATCCGTTTGCCCGATCATGACAAGGAGAACACGGCAGGTGTGACCGATCAACAGGGGATGCTTACTCCTCCATGGCACCTGATCCTACCCCTGATATTTTAAAAGTCCTTGTTTGTGCTGCTCCCACTTTATATTGTTTCAATGGCACTTTGAGTTTGGTTACTGTTAGTTATAAATAGTTATCTCCATATTTGAATGGTTGCTAACGTTTTTATCATTGCCATTATTTTCACACTGAATTGTCTACAGATTTTTGCGTTTACCCTTTCATGACAAGGGGCCCACGGTGGTTGTGTCCGGTTGATAAGACATGCTCATTCCTCTATGGCACCTGATCCTCAGAAACCCGTGTTTGCTCTGTTCACAATTTATTTATTCAAAGTAAACTTTTCAGCGTGTTTTAACATTTCATCGGTTATAGAATTAAAATTTAATTTAGCCTGTAATTCAATAAATTGCGTAATAGCAAGACGACATTCAGCCTGGAGCGGCTGTCGTTTTGAGACCACAATAAGTATGCTGCACATATTAATTTGTTAATGTTTCTTCTTTTCTATCCACGGTCTTTACTTTTATTCCTTGTAATGATTAATCTGATTTGTATTGTCAGATCAATTAAACATCGATTAATTTGCTAAGAGTTCGATCTAACATCGATTGTACTCAAGAACCTCAGGATGCGAATAAGGTATTTTGCATCTGCTCTGTCATGTTTACAAGTTATTACAAGATGTTTTTCTGTTCTTTTATTTAACATTAAATCACCTGTCTTCTTGATGCACGTTTGGCAATATAAATTGATTGTGGAATTAAGAAGAAGTACAAACTTCCCTAATAGCCATCCGAAGAAGAAAAATGTTCACTAAAGTGGTTGGATTAGTTTTCTTTTTTGGATATACAAAAGGTAGGAATCGCATATTTGAATGATACGAATTTAGTAACCATCACCCTTATATAATCATAAAAGCGTTAACTGTGCGTTATATAATAAAAATTGGTAATGAAAAGGAGCTCTAGAAATTAAATTATCGATAAACAATAAAATGCAATTTTGTTAAATTTTTGCAAATTATTGTAAATAAGTGATAAACATGCATATATAGCATCTGTGCGACATGTACACTAAGCAGCACAAAACTTAATATTTTTTAAAACTAAAAATCCAGCTGCTGTATTTGTGCTACTGCATATTTCCTAAGTGTCAGTTATCTCGGGTTCAAATATCTAAATTATTCTTATTAATCTAGCAAATTCTTCATCTCACCCTTTCTTATTCCGATGATTGTCAGTGAAGAAAAACTTCTATAATTATTGACATTTTATATCGTCTTTTGCACTGTATTCATTATTGTTTAAATGTAAAACTTTATCAATTTGACATTCTTTAAAAATGACAGCTATTAATGAGATAGCATGCGAGGGAGAGACACTCTCTCTTTCCTGTCCCCGGGGCCAGTCCATCAACATTACCTACGCTAACTACGGCAGGACCAACCCTAACATTTGCTATTCCGGAAGCTCGCAGAATTTGCAGTGCTACTCCAGCACAGCTTTCCAGCGGCTGAGACGCACCTGCCAGGGTCAGAATCAGTGCTTTATCACAGCCACAGACAGTATCTTTGGGGACCCATGTCCTGACACTTATAAATATCTGGATGTGGACTACGAATGTGAATACCCTCAAACAGGTAAGAAAGAACGCTAAAATGTCTTAGAAAAATCTTACTTTGTAGAGTTCATGGGAAACAAATTTACTGATATAGTTGAGAAATGCTCTACCTACCAACAGTTTCTGAAACGAGGCAAACTATTGACAAATAAGTTGATGAAACAAGGATATCAACAGTCTCGTTTAAAGTCAACCTTTTGCAAATTCTATGGTCGATACAATGACCTTGTTAGCAAATACAATCTATCGTTAAATAGAATGTTGACTGACGTTTTTCATACTAATTGTTTGGCCATTATTTTCACAATGAATTGTCTACAGAATTTTCCGTTTTACCCGTTTACGCACATGTCGGGTGTGACCGGTCGACAGGGATACTTACTCCTCCATGGCACCTGATCCCTCCTCTGATGTTTTTAGAGGTCCGTGTTTGCTTTACTCACAATTTGCATTGTTTCAATGGACATTTCAGATTGATTACTGTTAGTTATCTTCATATTTCACTCGATTCTGATCTACGGGTTTATAATTTAGTCAGCTCAAATAAACTCTTTATAGGTTTACTTATTTGCTTAATTATTACTTTAATAAATCAGTCATTTAAAAGTGTATAAAATTCCAAAGCATATTTTTAAAAAATAATTTGACTTTCTATTGTCATCCGCTTTCGCGAAAGCGAGGGGACATTAAAACTCATTCGTCTGTTAGTCCTTCTAGCTTCTGTCTGTCCGTCGTTCAGTCTGTCACAAAAACTTTAACTTTTGATTGAGAAGAGATAAGGCTTTCACATTTCACATGTGCATTACTTGTGACAAGACCTTTCCTTTTGATTTCTTCATGTTTATAGTAAGTTTATGGATGTGTTTACAGGAAAAATGTTTTGAAAATATCGTGTCTTTCTTTCATTAGACTTCTGAGAAAAAAAATAATGGAACTTAAGAAAAGTTCACTCTTCATAACATCTTTTCTTGCTAGCTAATAAAGCAATTTAATAGCAAAAACTATACAAGAACTAGAGGGAAAATATCATTTAAGACTGATTTAAACAATAAATACTTCAAACCTTTACTTTCAATGAACATGATTTTTTATTATACTAGTTAATAACATGGTATGGTGTTGAACTCACATTTTTCCGGGACAAAATTATGTCCATAAACCATTCGTAGCGTACTTATTTTGATCTGACCCTCTACTTCCCTCTACTTCCCCATCTCCAACCAATGATTTAAAAAGTAATATCAAAATAGCTCTTTCCTTTTGTAGAAGTTTTAAGAAACTGCTTTAGATGCTATATTGATGAAGGCCAATTATATATTCCTTAAATCAAAAATTTAGCTTAGAAATACACCGACACTCCCTTGTATTCTTTTGCAGTAGAATTTTATTCTTATCGAAAGAGATTATTAATCTTAAGAGGTTGTGAAATTTCGTTTCTAGTACAATTTATCAGAAATTCCCCCAGTTAAGGATCTAAAGTGTTTGTTATGATTTTTTTCCCTTAAAATTATTCTACTCAAATTTATGTTCATAAACTAGTTCTATAAGATGTAAGAATTTTCATTAGAACATTTTGTGATGAAAATCAAGAAGACCTAAGAATATCCATACTCACATCATAATGCACAATAGTTGTAGACAAAATCATAATTTATAATTTTTAATGAAAAGTTATCTGAATATCCAAACTTCAAATATGTATATCAGAAACATTCAAAAAGTGAAATGGATTATATTTATTTGTTACAGAAAATTTCATTTCAATACTGAATAGTAATGTATACACATATATATAATCATGATCTTTGGCTTTAACGCTTTGTGTTTCGTCCATTGTAGAAAAAAATAAATATTATGTTTATTACTGAATAATTCAGCAAGCCTTCCTTCTGTGATTTTAAAATTGCATTTCAGCTAATAAGAGAGCCAGGAATAATAAAACCAGAAAATATAATATAAATGAATTCAATTAAATCTGATGCAACATAATGTAAAATCATTATATAAACAGTAATAATTCATTTTCTTTACCAGGAGATCGTTTCCACGTTTGTGAGGGGGGTACATTGAGTCTCTACTGCCCTCGAGGATCAGTTTTAACAGTATTCTCCGCCAATTATGGAAGACAGCATCCCAGAATATGTCCAGGACCAGGATCAAATGACTTTACCTGTTTGTCACCGACAACCGTAGATATTGTGAGAAGACTTTGTGAGAATCGGGAGACTTGTCAACTTGAAGCAATTAATAATGTATTTGTTGATACTTGCCCAGGAAGACCGAAATATCTGGAAGTTAGTGTCGGATGCATATATATTGGTATTTAAAAGGACTTTATAGCACTATTTATTAAATTCTATATTAATTAGGCAAAAGAATGACTGTAATGTAATAAAGGACAGTCTTCAGAGGTATGAAAGTTGACTTGAATTTCCTTTATTAAAATAAAATCCTATCTATACCCCTCGTATTTATTTGAATTTTCTCTGCGTAAAAGTAAAGAGCACATGAACTCATAAATAAGCAACAATTTCATCCATGTACGACTTAATTTATTCCCGTTCGCCTTTCTCTGTCATATTTCTTTCCGATTCTGCCATATTTTTTTTTTTTTTATCAAATTCTATGTATTATCCTACCCCTATGCAAACCCAGTGCATTTCTTACACTTACACAGTGACTTTCTGGGTTGACTCTCAACTTGTACATATCCCCGATTATTGATTGATTGATTGTATGTTGTTTTACGTCCCATTCGAAAAATTTTTACTCATATAGAGACGTCACCATATACCGGTGAAGGGCTTCAAATTTTGACCTTTACTCGGCACTCAGGGCCATTGAGCAGTGAGGGATCTTTATCGTGCCAACGCCTGCCGTGATACGGGGCCTCGATTTTTAAGGTCTCATCCAAAGGACCCGCAGCTTTCACTTCAAAGTGCCGAGCGCATGGAGAAGGAACAGTTGATACCTATTTTTTATCGACTTAGGTCAGTCGCGGCCGAGATTCGAAATCACGACCTTCCGATCACGGAGCGAGGACTACCGACTGAGCTACCGTGAACGGTATATTCCCGATTATAAAATACTTTATTTCACCACAAGTAAAATTGATGCAAAGCATCAAATCGGCAGCAAACAAAAAGCATTTCAAAAAGTAATTTCACAATGAAGTATGCAAAGAAAGCACAAGACATTCAAAGCTGAAAGAGGGATCTTTTTTTATTTCAGACTGTCTCCAAACCAAATAAAAATAATTAAATAAATAGAAATTTTAGTGCATTTGTTCATCAAATAGATCCATCGATGGAATTAAGTCAGTGATAAATGATAAGCATATTTATTGTCATCAAAATGAAGATGTAGGCCTACTATTATTTATATTTAGATAACCACGTGCCGATACCCCTGATCTTTGTCACGCGATGATGCCAATGATTTCTGCAGAGTATGCTGCACGGCGCGGTGCAGAATTTAGAAAAAATAATTATCCATATGTTATTCGCAGTTGTAGCATATTTAATACAAATTTTACTAGTTGAACAACCTTTCAATTTTTATTCACCACTTACTTAGTATCCGGAAAATCATGACGATTTGCGTTCATATCTTACACACTAGCTCTGAGGTTGAGGAGTACCTATTGTAAACTCTTTTTATATAATCATAAATTAATCATTATCCGAAGACAAATGAAAATGAAATTGAAACATAATAACAACAATTAAGACATAGATTAATTAAAGCAAGTTTTTAAAATATTTTACTCGTGATATTATACATGTTATCATTAAAGATATATTTTACTGAACTAATAAGAAATAACGTCTCATTTTCCCATGTTGCACTTTCTAACACAAGCAAATAGATCGGCCCCTGCTGCGCCCGATAAAGAACTGACCTGAAACATGTTTAAAAACAAAAAAAAAAAAAAAAAAAAAAAAAAAAAAAAAAAAAAAAACTCTAAAAACAGAAGCAAACGTCAAAGCTAGGAAGAGGTACATTTATACTTTAGATGCAAGGCAGAAAATCAAAATTATACGCACACAAAACTTCACACGTATAGACATATCTGCGCATGCATGAGAAGACGCCTTTAATAAAACCTGTTATACTGGTTCCGGTTCGGGGAGTGCAGATGTAGAGAAAATTATATCCTATGTGCATTTTTCCATTTACTGAAACATGCATTACTAAAAAAATAAATTAAAAAACTTCATCATATGCACTTCAACACGTACAGTCCGAGTTGATCAGCTTGTATGATGAGGGACAAATAACACTGGAATTTGACCTAACGGAATGCACAAATAAAACATCTACAAATTGAAGTTACCGGTGGCAGACTAGCAGTAAGATAAAATATTCCATTTGAAAATAAGACGTTATATAATACCAATATTTTGACATAAAGATATATTACCACCAAGATCTCACATTAAATTTATTTAGAGAGAAGAGTGGATGCTGTGGGGAGTAGGGGGTTACGACAAATGGAATACATATTACATGTAAAATACAAATCGCATCATTTTTTTAAAGGTTTGGGAAGGGGAAATATAATTGACAAGAAAAATAATACAGATGCATGAAAAATACTTCGACAAGCAAAAAATGATAAATAAATAAATGAAAATTGTTCAGACTCTAATAAACCTGATTGTGTGTGTCTGTGTGTGTGGAAGGGGAGAAAGTGGGGGGGGGGGGGTTAGTTCCAACTCTCTTCCACAAAAATATTTTTGTGCTAAATAAGTGGAAGGTTTGGCCGTACCGCCACAAAAAGTTGGAGGGGGTTTAATGAAAAATTCCATATTGAAGATCATGCTTCGTGTCTCTTTAAATACTTGTATTTGGTGTCGGAGAAAAGGATCTTAATTCCTTTGGTCAGATATATTCAAAAACATGCAATAATTAAGTTATGCCGCTGTTCTGATAGGTTTGGATATAAAACTAATATAAATTTAAAACATTTTATTTATAAATGCACTTTACAACCTTGATAGTTTAAAATGAAAACCAAATTGATTATCCTACTGCATGAACGTTTCCTGGATATCGGAAAGTTATCGATCATTCCACTTAAACACGTCAAACAAACGACTGAACTATTGAAGCCCCGTGCAACGATGTACATGAATGTCAAAATAAGGAAGTAGATTGAAAGTGACAAGGAAAAATTCCTTTTTTTATTTGATAAATTTAAAATTTCACATTTTTTTTTAAGTACAGCAATTTTTTCCAACAGAAAGTTTTTTTTTCATTTTTATATCAAAATGGTGTGAAACTTCAATGAAACAACAGAAAGCAAACTTCTCAAATGTGAACATGACAGCTATGAGCAAACATAAATGTATAGCATACGTTTATTTCTCTTCTGATTTGTCACCAAGTTGGTAAAAGCAAATAAAGAAAGTCTTTACATAGAAATGATAACAACATTTAAAAGTATAAATTAATACTAATTTTACGGTGTCTTCATTTCTTTTGTTTATTTCTTCTTCTTTTTTTCCCTTTGATAATATTTTAAATAGCCTATTTGAGTTGGTGAATTTAAGCACATGTCATGAATTAAAACACGAATAGCAAAGTTTAGTGGTTGTCTGATTATTTCTCTCCTCTTTTTTCACGAAAACGTTATAATCTACATTGTATATTCATATTTTTTGTACATTTTGCTCACCAAATTTACTTCATTTCTATCAAAAGCATGCAATTACCATCAATTTGGTATTGGTGGCCTTTTAGTTTCTTAACAATAGCATTTTCCAAAGAGGGATGTTTTCTAAATTTATCTTTTTGTTTGTAAACGCTGAATCTTACTAAGTATATTTGAAATGCAGAAACATTCTTTCCTTTGTGTTACATGACTTTGAAGATGAAAAAGGAGAGCGCACACATGATCAAGTCGCATATTTTTTTAAATTTAAAACTATATAAGATATGTACATGTATTTAACTCTACCAATTCATATGCGCACTCATGATCAAGTTTCATATTTTTTTTAATTTAAAATTTTGAAAATATGTACAAATAAATAATTCTATAAAACTAATATTTCAGAAGTAGTACATAGAAATATCTCAAACGTTACTAAAAATTCAAAGTACACGAATGTAAGATGTACATGGCTTTTTGTAATTTACAGTCTCTCGTTCCATTTAGCATTACAAAGTTACGTTGTCAGGTCCAGCAAATGTTCTACCAAACCCCTACCCTTACTCCTCACAAAAATATTTCCTGCTGTAAAGGAGAAACTTTACACATACTGTGCTACACAATATTCTGGAAATGGTGTAAATCAGATGCGGATTCTCAAAAACTTCAAAGAACTTTTAGAAAATTTAGAATTACCAAATTTTTAAAAGTTAGTATCATCAAAACGTACGACTTTTCCAGGCCCATTCTTCACGATAAATTAAAAAAAACTAGGTCTTTTGATTTCATAAACAACTGCTTTTTTGATAGAAATGGAACTCGGATATTTTTCTATCTTGTGATCGATCATCGGGCAATTGAAATTCCGATAGGCTTTAATTGTGCTCTTTTATCAGAAAACACTTGCTCTGGTCTTAAACTCGACACTCAGATCTATCGACGAGGTTTTTCAATTAACAATAGTTACTTCCACTCATATGTAGACTCGATATATCCCAGTGAACATGAAATAAAAGACACCACAGAGTCTGCTACATCTATTTCATATTTGGACGAGTTACTGACTATAGACGGTAAGGGCCTTCTAACAACTAAATTGTATAACTAACGAGATGACTTCAGCTTTTTCATCGTCAACTCTCCTTATTCATGTGGTACATGTACATGTAATATTCCGCTATCACCTGCATATTGTGTTTATTTTCCCCAACTTATTTGATACTCAAGAGCATGCTCTGAGAACGGTCAATTTTTAAACCGAGGCAGGCTACTGACGGATAGGTTGGTGTTACAGGGATTTTAACAACCTCCTTTAAAGTCAGCATTTTGTAAATTCTTTTAAAATTATAATGACCTTATTGCCAAATATAACCTATCACTGTGAGATATTTTGACTGACGTGTTTCATACCAACTGTTAGGCCTTTTTTTATACTAAAGACTACGGAATGTTGCGTCTACCTGATCAATACATAGGGCTCAAGGCGGGTTGACCGCTCGACAGGGGATGCTGACCCCTCAGGCACCTGATCCCACCTCTGGAAATACCTGAGCCTTGTGTTTTATGCCTTATCGACGTAGGTCTGTCGCGGCCGTGTATTTGAACCCACGACCTTCCTTGCACGGAGCGAGCGCTCTAGAGACTGAGCTACCGTGATGGTCTGAGAGAGAAGATGTTCTGATGTCCACAGTTTTACGGATCATTGACTATTCTCTTGAAATGAACTCAGAAAGCCTCGAATAGAGTTAAAAGTTGAAACAAAAGCTGTCTCCAACCTCAAATAATATTAAAATTGTTCTCAAAGTTATTAAGATCATCTATGATCAGAGTGATGTCATCACTTCATTTCGGAGTTTCATTGCAAAATTCAGTCATTTATAACTATAGACTTGGAAAATTTGGTCATTACTGAAAGACACTGAAATTTTGATGTTATTTATTTCAACAAAGAGAAATTTCCAAATTCATCTTTCTGCTTGTCATTTTCATCCATTCTTTTACCCTGTATATGAAGAACTAAAATTAGTAATTAAAGACGTGCCATTTCTGACCCTATTTACTTTTACAATATCTCTTAATAATTTATGATAGTAATCAATTATCCTAAATGAATAATACCAAAATAACATTAAAGATAAATTAAGAAGATAGACGATTTGTTTTTAAAAGATTACCTCTCCAGAAAGGGTTTATTCTACAGAATGGATGATGGCAAGGACATGGAATCGTCATATCGAGGCACACACAACAAAATGGAAGTTCGGTAGGAAAGGTCATTCCAATTGCAGGTCCTTTATCAAATAATAAAAGAACACGTAAATTTACATTCCAGTGTTTTTATTCAAATTAAATTGAAAGGGTCCGTAATTTTGCTTATTTTGACAAAGTGATGCAGGTTTTAAATATAAACGTATGTTAAAATGTTCCAGTTTTATGTTGCTGCTTTATGACATCATTAAGGATGTAAATAAATCTTAAAATGGTCACCTATCCATTCTCTACCAGCTTATAGTTCAAGCATTTGCCTATGGAGAATTGTTGTTTATTCTGCTCATTTGCATATCCGCCATATTGAAGCTATAATGGCTTCAGATTTCATAAAGGTTTTAATTATATAGAGGAAAAAAACAAAAATTCGCACATTTTTTTTTATATACTAGCTATTTCGGATAAAAATCTTCCTCTTTTAGTTTGATTTTTCTTAATATCTTCTATTTGAAATTATGATATTTCTGATACCAAAGTGAAAGTTACGACCACCACCATTTTAATTTGAAAATTTGAAGCAAGAAAATGTTTTATTAAAGAAATATTTATCATTTTTTATGATAAAATGTTAGTGCTTATTGCAAGTTGGTGAAGGAGAAACCCTATTTTATGAAATACAAATGATTTATCATTTCGTGAATAGTTAGACCGCTTTATAAATTTGAAACGGCAGTATGGCCTACATTGTGCTTATTGTTATAAAAAAAAAAGTGGTATCAAGAGTTATGAACTGTTAATCACACAAAAAATCTGTTTGCTGCAAGCCATAGGAAGCAATGACCAACCCATCTTTTTTCTCTTCTTTCCAACCAGCCTATACCTCTTTCTGTACAAACTAATACATATATGTACTGTGCTTGACTTAAGCCTTTGATTTTAACTACCTCCACTCAGGGGGGCTATTGATTCAATGACAGAGTAAAAAATCTGAAAATCTTTTGACAAATCTATACTGGCTTTCGATCAATTCTATGATCCTTTTTTCTCTTTGCTTATAAAATAAATACATAAGTAAGCAATCAACAAACACAAAGAAATACAGAAACAACAAATTTATTGACATGAATGAAAATTTTGTCATATATTTTTATTTATAGATTATAAATATTATTTTAAGAGGCGTGTTCTGAGCTCATATTGAAAAGTGAAATCTATTTTTGTAAGTCTTTAAAAAAAATCGCAATAATACAGGTTTTAAAAAATATCAGTTGCTGTCCGGTTATTTCTTCTTTTCAAGAATTAGTCGCCTGCCAGTAGAAAATCAAGAAATTTTAAAAATCTTTTTTAACTGTCCAATTAATGAGCTCCAGCTGTAATATTTTCACAGAGGAAATAATACATGCTGACAAAGGTGCAATTTGTAAACTCATCAGATGAAAGTTTCAAAAGAATTGTAAATTAATACATTTTCAACAGTTAAATACGACAACTTATCCGTTGAGTAATTTTACATTAACATATTTTACATGTTTATGTAAAAATAAAAGTGTTATTTTTCACACTGCAAAAGTGAAATATATGTGTATGTCAACTAAATGCACAACACCACATGAAAAAGGGTATATTATTATTATTATTATTATATAAACATTAAATTATTTGAAAGTACTGCTTTAGATTTGTTTAAACTTTTTGAATTCATTGTTATGGATCTATATCAATATTGTTTTGAATTTTAATCAAGTAATAACTAATAAAGACAAAAAGAATATAAAAAATTAAATGTAATTGACGAATGTATATTGAATTTATGTCACGATTTGGACAGCATTTATTTCTTTATTTTCGTGAGTGCTTGTCACTCATAAAAATATGAATAAAATTCTTGTCCCACTCCTTAAATCAATTCCATATCAAAAAAAAAAAAAAAAAGATTGAATACCCTCTTATTTATTTTCCAGGTTCAGTGATATTTAAGATATGACTTACCTGCATCAGTAATCCCTATTACTGCGAATGCAGCAAGTGCAACACAAAGTAACACAGGAGGCCACTCCATTGTGTGTGATCTCGTCATGTTTCAGTAGTATTTAAATACATTTATCTGGTTTTCCCCAGAAATTTCGAACACTTGCTGACAAATTCAAGAAAACACTTGATGAATGTATAATTTAAATTTAAAAAAAAAAAATGTTTCGTTTTTCGTTCGATTTCAGCTAGAAATATTAGATTGAAGTCGTCAAATGCTATTTTAATAGAATTCATTAAATCGATTTGTTCCCATTTTGCACACATTTGAAAATCAGGTGTTGAAAAAATGTGTGCGAAATGGAATTTGTCCCTAAGAAAGTTACTTATTTGCTATAGTTTGTATCATAATTGACGAAGGGGGAAAGAAAACTAAAAATAAAAGTAAGAAAAATCAAAAACATTTGGTATCTTGGATTATTTTATGCATCCTATTATTGTTATGTATCATTATTTAATATCATATTTCATCATTGTTACCCATTTATTATCTACAGTGAAAAAGGTGAAAATATAGAACAGTGAAATACTACAAACAATACAAATCTGTGAACAGAGCATGAAACACGGACCCCTAGAAACGTGGGATCAGGTACCTACAGGTAGGAGTAGTAAGCATCCCCTGTCGACAGATCACACCCGCCGTGAGCCCTATTGATCAGTAGATGGAATATTCCGTTTATAATTGCTTTAATATTGCCAAAACTCATATTGATCGTTTACTGAAGATTTTAATTTTTCATTATTTTTTTCATTTTTTAGAAATCTAAAATGATGATTAAATAATTTGAATCTTGATAAATGAGATATAACATTATTATTTTCAACACTTTCAAAATGCTTTTAAACGGCTCACTTTATAAAAAAGAAACTTGCTTAGACGATAATTATACGTGACTTTATTGGCAGATATTATTCAATTACTTTGGTCAGCTTGAGTAATGATAATAACGAACTATCAAAGCTTGCCCAGTCAATCAAAGTGTTAATGCTAGTGAAAAATCTCACAATTTGTATATGTATTTTAAAAATGTTCATCACAAAGGTATGTCGCCAAGGTTCGCTAAATGTAGTTCTCCGAATCCTTATACTTCAATCTATAACTATGTGCATTTATTATCTGATTGATACGTCAGTGGGGGGGGGGGGGGGGGGGGCTTTTCAACGGAAACATGCTGATATTTGCTTATTTCATGTATGAAACAGATAATTAGTTTTTAAAAACTCATATACACCAATATACTTCATCGAACACTCCCTCTCAAATGTTAATGATGATAGCACCTGATCCCACCTCTGCATTTAGAGGTCCGTATTTGCTCTGCTCCCGATTTGTATTGTTTCCATGATTTTTTGAGTTTGAGTACTGTTCGTTATCTCCATATCTCATGCAATAAAAAGCCTATAAATGACTACCGATTTCAAAATAAAGTGTTCTGTCAAAATTCAAAAATTCCATTATTTACTAGGATAAAAAAAAAAATAATAATAACGTTTTCTAAAATAATCACAAGTAACCGTGATCACTAGATATGCAAATAATCTAATGTAATTGATTACTTTTAAAATGTTTGAAATCAGTTTTTAAACGATTACTTTAAAATCCCAAAGAACTTGTAATTCAAAAGATGACTTTGAAAGCAATCGACCCTTTCCCAGGTATCCAAGAGTACATGAAACATTTGAGTGTTTTTTTTTTCTTTTTTCCAAAATAAGTTTCTCTTCTCATCAATATAAATAACACTGAGTTGTTTCAGTGGCATTATATGAATTGTTCTGATATCTTATACATCAAGAAATTCAAAAAGAAATCACACCGTTTCCTGAAATGGATTAATTCACACAAAAACATTAACTAAAGGATTATATTACTGAGGAACTCCTAAGAACGTTTCACAGTTCCTGTACGGGTTCCACGTCTTCGATTTTTGCTTGGTTTTTTCTTGAAAAGAATGTTTCAAATTTGTATATACAGTTAAGATATCGTTAAATTAAATGTTAATGTAAATTACCAAATAATGCAGAATGCAGGTTCATACGAAAGCCCAGAAGAATGACGGTTTTTTCAACACTCTTAAATCCACTCATTCTTCAAATCCTCAATCTTTCAAGGCTTGTTATTTCTACCTTAATCTGCCTTTTTCCTGTGTATAAAGAATTATAACAATTATGAATTGAAGCATACAAAAGAACGTTTTTTTATGAATAAAGACGTATCAGTTCTGGCCATACTTTTTCCAATTCCTCATAATAATTGATGATACTAATCATTTATTCTGTTTTAACTCAAGCCTATATAACATAATGGGAAAAAAGTATTCCTCTTGACATTTTGTCGCTACAGTACTACCTGATCAGGAAAAGTATCTTCTACAGATTGACTGTTTAGGGGTGCAAGAACGTACTCACACAATTCAGTATTAGACAAAGGGGATCTCTATCCAGGCCCTTAATTAAAAATACGTAAATTTAAATAATGTTTCTTTTTCATCTTTTTTCTCCTTTCCATTTTTAAAAGAGGGGTTCATGTTTCCTATGGGAGTCCAAGTTAATTTTTCGTTGTTTAACATCTAAATTTAATGTCTTAAATTTCAGAGAGAGAGAGGGGGGGTCCGGAACCCCCAATCCCACCTCTTCTAGATCCGCGCATGTCAAGTGTATAACTAATAATTACTTCTTGCTATTGTCCACAAAATCTTTATTTTTTGCTTCATGACAACAATTGCAAAATAATGTGTTTTTAGATTGATATTACATGTAATTTAATCTTCATCAGCACTGCGATAATAGGGCAGGGTGATTTTTTTTTATTTCCTGTAATGTTCGATCTGAACCTAATTTTGCTAATTTATTTCACGTTTTTTTTTAAATTAAACTTTCAGAAACATTTATCATTATTATTGATAAGTACAGAATGCGTCTTTCTGTTACATGCAATTACAAACCATGATTAATCTATTCCTTCCTCTTTTTGCAAACTAATACATGGCAATGGATAAGATGTGCTTCATTTAAATCTAGAATGTTTTAATCAACCTCAAAGGAGGATCCAGGGCGCACCCCCCCCCCGTTTGATGTTTTTTGAATGTAGAACTTATATGTCCATTTTCCAAACCCTAGGGAAAAAAACACCTCTTATTTGTAAGAATTCGTCAAAAAAAGTAAGCAAAGAAAAGCATTTTTACAATTTTCAAGATTATTTTTTTTAATTTAGAAAAGGAATGATTGATCATGCTTTAAATTTAGTAGTTGAGTAATATATGTTAAGTTAATATTTCGTATAAATTTGTATTAACCTTAAAAGGTAGTTTTGCTAATAAATAAATTCATGGTTTCATATTGCATGAATAATTAATCAAGTAATATTGTTATATATCGCTATATATTATATCATAGTAATTTTATCTGATTTGCCATTCAAAAAAGAACAATTGAAGATTTTATGAATTGGTATAAAACAAAAAATCTGAATTAGGAAAATGGATTTTGGAATGATATTTGGAAGATACTTTATAGTATCAAAGAAAAGATTTAAGACTGTCAAATAACGACGATAAATAACAACAATCTTAAGTGTGTGTATAATGTTTGTTTATTTATTGTTTAACGTCCCTCTCGAGAATTTGTCACTCATATGGAGACGCCACCACTTGCTGCGATGGAGAGCTACAAATTTTGACCTATACTCGGCACTCAGGGCCATTGAGCAGTGAGGGATCTTTTTCGTGCCAGCACCTACTGCGACACGGGACCTCGGTTTATGCGTTCTCATCCGAAGTGCCGGTCTCCACGTCCCACAGTGGGATTCGAACCCGCGACGTAAGGATCAGCTCCTTACTCCGCGACTCTAAAGCGAACGCACTAATCATTGCGCCACGCAGGCGACGTGTATAATAATGTCATGAAACAACAACCGTCGCTACAAGAGATTTCACTGACATAGTGTACTGGTTTCAGTATGCTTGCATTCACGTTAAATAATGTACATGTCAAAAAGTTGAAAGATGTCATTATCTGAAAATTTAAAAATGAATCAGAAAGTGTAAGGCGAAGGGGGTTGTCAAAAGATGCGGGCAAAAGATTACTAAAGTTGCACATGTCAATAGTTTTCAATTTATAAATTGAGCAAAAATGCATGATAAGTTTGCCACATACAAATAATTTACATATATATGTCAGCATGCACAATAACACTGTGAAATATAATCGTAATGCGAGATTTTATAAATTACAACTTACAGACGTCATTTATAGGATAATTAAATGTACCATGGAAATTTATTATACTTATGTGCAGCAAGTCTATGCTGATACGCCACCTTTTATGTTACCATACAACATAACATATCCATTGTTAGCTAGTGATAAGACAGTTGTAGGTTCTTTTATGATTTTATTGACAATAAACACCTTAACACATTCATTCTACAAAAAGAATACAATTCAATATACAATACAAATTAAAGTAATTCAGTACATATATGTATATGATTTTTAAAGCGTATGATTTAAAAATGTTAATAATCTAAGTCTAACTTTACTAAGAAAAAGTATAAAGTTATAACTATGTTCATAAAAAATCAAATACAGTGTACACGGTTATAAAAGCATACGGGTAAATTCTCAGTATGGCCCTGTTTCCCTACATAATTCAAAACTATTTAGCAGTGAAATAACTATCTATTTCATAACAAAGGATTTCGTTTGATTTGATAACTGTGGCTGATGAAATAACCAATAAGATAGCAAGAAAGAAAATGTTCACCAACTCAATCTACCTGTACCAAATATGAGATTGTTTACTGAATGAAAATGTATTTTTAAAAAAATTGATTCAAGTGTAATTGAAAAATCGTGAACAATAACAAATACCTTGCCCACAAACTAAATATGCAAATTGACCTACAAAATAATTTGCCAACTTTGGCAACTTACAATTGATATATACGGAAGTGAATGTTTCTTTTATTAAATTCCATATGCAAGATACTTTGAAGTTTTATTGACGCAAAACTCTGCACATT